AAAAAAAAAACAAACGACGATCGAAGTGAAATATCGGAAACATCGGATATCAAACTTGATGCTTCAGGTAATCGGACATTTCATACTTAATGACCTAATATGTACATACTTTGAGACAATATTCTCGGTTTTTGAACAATTAGGGGCTCGCTCGTTTCGATAGGTGAGGAGAATGATTGACAAGATTTCGATAGTTTTTAATTATTTTGATTTGTTCAAAATATTATTAGACAATAGTCAAGTCAAGCTACATAACAATTTTCCATTTACGAAACAACTTTGTTTTCATTTCAGTCGCATTTTCTAAGAAAATCGACCACTGATTGGCCGTTTCCACAGAAAGCAGGAGTGTCCTCTGCTATTCAGATGTCTGCCGATTGCTTTGTAGCCCGTTGGCTCGTAGTATACCAAGCAGTTTTCGGGAATTTCCATCGCTACATCGGCACTTGGATCGAGGCTGCGGCGAGATAAGGATTTATCGCGGCCTGGATCTGGTCGGTGTATCGATTTCGCATAGATTTCCGGCTAATTACGCGGCTGGGATTAAGGGATCTCGGGTGAATGAGGCGAAAAAGGCGACGAAAATCCGGGAATTTATCGAGCCGTCGTTTCGATCGCGTTAGAAGCACGTCGATGTTAATTCTTCGCTCTTTGTTACAATTGAAATGTAAGCCAAAGGATTTCCCTACGATCTCCTTGTTCCAACATAGCACGCGTTCCAATTACTATTTGCAATCAAAGTTCTGCATGGCGTTGCAATTGATTTTAGAACAATCGTGTGCGACGGTTGCAACAAGTATCTTAATCATACACTTTCGAGATGGGATTATCGACCACGCTAGTTCTGTTAACCAAATATAATTTATTCATTCACAAAGTATCATGATCTAACGTGAAATTCATTATGTGTTTATCATTGCAATAAAATCATCATATGTCATGTTTAATAGAGATTGATCCAAGATTTTCTTCAAGGCTTGGCCACCATAATACGACAGTTTGGCTTGATTGTCGATGATTATCTGTGGCATTTCAGCAGATATTTTATCGCTGAATTTCGTAGACTCGTCTGGGTCGCCCAATAAACCACTGGCATTGAACTGTAACATTAATCGTTTCAACACAGCGTTCAAAAACATCACCTAATCTAATGCAATTGCATAGTCGCGTACCGTATCGAAAACGGACTTAACATTATTTTCATCGGTCGTTTTACATACATATTTTCACCAAATACGTTCTTGAATCGCTTCGGGAGAAAAGAATTTGAAAACTCGAAATCGCGGAAAAGCGATTGAACTTAATCGAAAATAATATTCAGTTAAAATTTCGAATGGCGTTCCATCGCGATTTTGGAGAAAATAGTGTTCATCTATATTAGAAACTAAACTATTAATGTTTGACACTTACTTCCAGTTTGTCCAGACTAACTGTCAATTTTAAATCTGACACGTCCAACTTGTTTCCAGAATTCTTGGCGATTTTCACCTCTACAGTTATCTCGAGACCTCTTGCTACCGCTCTGAATACGAGAAAGACAAAGTTCAATTAATTTCTATACCGTTGATGATAATTCGGGTCTTCGTTCCCGCCGGTCTCCCGCGGAGATCTATGGCTGGGAACGTTTTTACTCGATTCGGGTAACTCTGTTTTAGCAACGCTAGGGAACTGTGTGATCAGCCGAGAACCGTGTTTATACGTCGGCAAAAGAATTTTCGACGCTGATACCAGTTTCGTCGTATCGCTCGGAGATAACGTTACTTTGTGGAATCGAGTTCGTCTCGTTCGATAAGCGATCGTTCTCGACTCGAATTCGAACGAGCGCGACGCTGATTATGCGCCAACGTCGACTGGAAACAGCGGAAAGTTCGTACAATCTGTTAACGCTGAACGTACCAAACCGGTCAAAATGACCAGTTTCACATTTTCGATATTGAAGTTGCTGAAATTAAAAGAAGCTATTTCACGGAATCTTCGATCGAAGCGCGCGTACATTATAACAAACATGGCGGAAGGTCTAAATAATTCAATCTTCTTATCAAGCAACGTGCGTTAGTTACTTTTAGGGCTCGATAGGTTTAGCGTTAAAAGCTGTCTTCGCTTCGAAGAAAAACGAACGTCTCAATATGAAATTGTTGCTTTTACCGATCAGTCGAAAATCGTATACGCTATGACAAACTATAGAGTGTCCCAAAAATGTCTCTCGATCCGAAAGTAGGGGATTCCTGAGATCATTTGAAGCAACTTTTTCCTTTACAAAAATTTTCTCTGGGGCACCGTTAACGAGTTATTAACGAAAAACAGTGACCAATGAGAGGCGAGCTCGGCTGGCGCGCGACGGCCCAGCCAACGAGTGCACGGAGCCCAGTTCCGTTCGTTGGCTCGGCCGTCTCGCGCCAGCTGATCTCGTCTCTCATTGGTCACTGTTTTTCGTTAATAACTTGTAAACGAAGCCGCGGATTGCATTTTCGCTAAGGAAAAAGTTGCTTCAAATGACCTCAGGAATACCCCACTTTCGGATTGTGAGACATTTTGGGACACCCTGTATAAGTCATTGAGCAGACTGCAAGTCATTGAGAGGCAAAATATTATGAAATACTTACACCATAGCACCCTGTCCATACGCCATTGGCCAATCCACCACTTGCAACGACGTGACGTCGTACATTGCCAAGAAATAGATAGCATCCCACTTTAAATTGACAACAGCTTTATTGTCCTCAAGGTTGTACTCGCCCTTCTTCACATTAAAGTTCGACAAACCGGTTATATACGGGTTATCCAGATTTCCAAAATACCTGTCGTTGCATATCATTGCACAACAATCATTTTTTTAATAGTCTGCCGATATACGAGCTTCGTATACTTTCGAAACTTCTTGCCGAAGTTGATAGAAAATTGAAGCTGTACGTACCTGATGAAGGGGTTGTTTACTGACAGTGGCATGTGGACCGTCTGGAAGGGCTCCAGAATAGGGATGTCTGGTTTCTTATGACCTTGCTGCATCCATGTTTTCAGGGTTGTGAGAACGCTGACAAGTTTATCGCTCGCAAACGGAACGTTGAACGCGAGCGGCACTGAAACAGGTCGAAGCATTGTTCCGATTGAGTTCGAGATCGAATTATCGAGCAATCCGCCCGAAGTCGTCGAAATTTGAAAATTCATTTGCCACTCACTCTGCAGCTTGAATCCGTTCGTGCTCGCGTCGCACGAGGCCGCGATCGCGGCCAACACCAGCACCAGCACACATATGCGCATTTTTTCTGAAAATCAAAAGCTCGTCAGATTACCAGCTCGTCGATCCTCCATACACCGTCCGACGCTGATATCGCGATTAATGTCTCGATCGACGAAGTCGAACTCGATGTTCAATTTCACTTGGAGAACTCGAGTTCTTTTTCCGGAGGATTATTTCCCGATTATTTCCGTTCGAATTTCGAATCGATTGTTCCGATACTTTCGTTTCAATCGCGTCAACTAACTGCGAAAGTGACGTAGCAGCATTGTACGAGGTTTCTTTTTTTTTAAGGTGTCCAGCTCTAATTGTAAGACTTCGCGAAGAGAATCGATTACCTCCGGCAAGCGATACTGTCGGTATTTTTGACTTTACTGAAAATCTGTACAGCCTATCGTTTCGATCGCGGACAATGGTAGGGGCTGTTTCCGAAGGTACAGCGAAAGTTTCAAATCGATTGTTCCAGTGCTTTAACAAAGGTTTCAACGACGCGACAGTCGATATTTTCGGGATCACCATGACTGCCAACTTGCAATTTTCCAGAGACATTTCGACAGAGTTAAGCTACAAGATCCCGCCAAGAAAACCGGTTGTTCCCGGCAAGAGAAAGAAATTGCCGCCTTAATTGAATATCCTCGGGTGGCATTTCGCTGCGGCCGCTTTGCGACGCGGCGCGGGTCCCGCGGTTAATTGCGCGGAAACGGTCAGGCCGCGATTGTTTTTGACAGATTTCCGCCGCAGAGTTTCACTGACTTTTCCCGGCGCGGCGTTCAACATCGAACAAACACGTTCACCCGGACCACCCTCGCGCAATTCGAGTTGCGCGTAGCCCCGTTGTGCTCCTGCCGGACGTGCCCGCCATAAATTCCTTGTTCTCCCCGACGAACAAAAGAATCGATCGCGCAGACAAATCCAGAGAAGTCCGGAAAAAAATTCCTCGAAATTACGTTCGCAATTACGAGGCTCCGCGCGTAATAATCCGAGGATATAATAACGCGATCGCGGAGGCTCGCGTGGATACTCACGCTGATTCGAGTACACGGTGTCCGCGCGAATACTGGAATGCACTACGACACCGGACGACGCCGATAATTGTCTCTTATATAGGCGTCGGTATCAGCCATCTAAAACTTCACTAACCATAATCGGATGCTCGTTATCGGGACCGCTGAATCGTTCAATCAACGACTCGAAAAATTCGATTAGTCAAGGTCGGATGACTATTTTGTACCTTTCGGGCGCATGTCTCGGCTGACGTGAACAAGATAAATGGACGAGCTCCTTTTTTTCGCGCGCGGCGAATACTTTTCGGCATTGTTCGCGACCCGACGCGAGGCGAGACGGGGCGACGCGACGCGACGCCGCTGATAGATTATCTGCGGTGTCGGCGGATTGCGGTCGTTACGTTCAATAGGGCATTAGGCTTCTTTCGATTCCCGTAATTCCCAGAGTTCTACTTTCCGCGCGTCCCGAATATTTCTGCTCGAGCAACTTGTTGATGGAGCACTTAATCCGGTTAGATCGTTGATCAGATTCTCTTTGATCCACGTTTATTCTTTAATCTACTCGAGCCGCTAAATTATGCGGGTCGAATTGGATTTCATAGACGGATCACGGTTCACGAAAAAACTCGTTGCCTTGCTAAGTATCCGATCCTATCCTGGGAATGGTACATTCGAGTCAAGCGAAACAAGAATAACGCAGGATAATGGCTCATGGTTGTTGTCGATACGAATCGAACGAAACTAAATGAACATTTTATCTTGGAAACGCGTTGGGAGATTCTTCACGCGTCTCAATACAGTAGCAATTTTAGCAATACAGTAGCAACACCATCGTTGCACAGTATCGTTCTCGTTGAAGCTGTCCATCGTGAGAAATTCGTTCGCACTTTCCCCTATTATTTTGTATTTTATTTTATTTTATTTTCTATGCGTCAACGCGGCACGAAACCTTCGTGCTAAAAATAAAAAATGAAAGGGAATGACTAGAGTTTGGATTTTTGTGTAAAATGAATATCGTCTAAGTTAATTGTAAGAAATGAAAGCCAGACGAAAATGTCTTTTCTCTTTTAATCATTTTAATAAATCGTACATGATATATATGAAAGTATCTCATACTTTTAGAATTTTGTTGCTGACCAGTCATTTTTGTCAAAAATGCATAAAATCCGCTAACTAGTGGCAACTATCGAACAAACAAGTGTGAGTAAAGCGACAAGTGAAGAGAATTACGTCCTCCTTGCCAATTTTTTGCGCCTTTGCTATATTGTATTGTTTGACGTGTGGATTAAGAATCTGAAAAACTCTCTTTTCTCATTTCCGAGATATAAATGTTTATATACATATATTTACACATATATATAACATTTATATACATATAAATATTTATATCTCAAGAAGGAAAAGGGGGGGAGGGACTATTTTTCCTCTTAAATTCTCAATCCACGCATCAAAATATACAATATAGCAAAGGCGCAATAAAATTGGCAAGAAGAACGTTGGTCTAAACAATTACCAGAAATACAATTTAATTCGTAATCAGAAATGATACGTCACTGATTGCAATATTAATACCGAACCAAGGACTTCGACGAGGTTCACCTCGCGATTTCCCAGTATTCTCCGCAGCGTCTCGAGGAAACCAGTCGATAGCAGTATAAATGGAAGAGCCGCGATGCTCTTAAAAAAGTCAAATTTCCGATATCGACGCGTCGAACGGCAATTATTTTTGCTGCGGCGACGAGACCCTTCGTGCTCCTCGCGTTCGCATGTTGTCGGGTTCTCCTCGTTAAGGTTCGAATCGTGAAACGTCGAATTCTCATTGGACCGATTCAGAAGAGACGCTACAATTGGGTCTTCACTGTTCACTCGGTCCGTCCGGGCCCTGATTTGCCGCGTATCGTTAGTTTGCTGGCACTTGGCACTCTGCGCTTGACTCTCGGCATTTGGCACTCGGCTCTCGACACTCTGCGCTCGGCTCCCGGCCCTCGACATTCGGCTCTTGGCTCTCAGCATTCAGCTTTCGACACTCAGCACTCGGGCCACGGCCTTCGGCACTCGGCACTCGGCTTTCGACGCTCGGCGCTCGGCTCTCGGCGCTCGGCTTTCGGCACTCGACTCTTAGCACTCGGCACTCGGCTCTTAGCACTCGGCGCTCGGCACTCGGCACTCGGCACTCGGCGCTCGGCACTCGGCACTCGGCACTCGGCGCTAGGCTTTCGGCGCTAGGCTCTCGGTGCTCAGTTTTCGGTGCTCGGCTTTGGACGCTCGGTACTCGGCCCTCGGCCCTCGGCACTTGGCACTCGGCGCTAGGCTTTCGGCACTCGGCTTTAGACGCTCGGCTCTCGGCGCTCGGCTTTAGACGCTCGGCACTCGGCACTCGGCTCTCGACGCTCGGCGTTCGGCGTTCGGCTTTCGGTACTCGATTCTTAGCACTCGGCCCTCGGCTCTCGGCACTCGGTTGTCGGCGCTCGGTTCTCGGTTCCCGTCCGGCGCCGCTCTCCCCGGCTTCCAATAACCGTGCATTTACGCCATGACGATCGATACCGCGCGAATTTCATGGCCACCTAAAATAGCCGTTTCGGATTTATGGAAATTCGCGTTGCCGTTCGCGTTTAGATAATTACCGGTGGCGTGTGTCGCCGCGCCGCGCCGGCGACCTGTGTCCCGCGCTCGTTAGGGACCGCGTCGCACCCAGAAAAACCCGATGCCGACCGAAATTTCGGGGCTACCGGACTCGCGTCGAACCTTTGTCACGTTCACTGTCATATTCGGGTGACGCAATTATTTCTTCGAATTGAATCGCTCATTTCGACGTCTGTTAAACCGATTCTCTCCGTTGCCGCGCGTTACGATGTCGAAATCCGTCGATCTTGGCAAAGTTCATTTGCGGAAACAATTTCTGATACATAGCGAACATTTCTGATACAGAAAGTAGACTTTTAGTGATAGCGTTACGATGTTTTCAGCGTTTTTGTCTACATTAATGCAACAAAGTAAATATTCTGCGATTGAAGAAGTAATTAGTAAGTTATGTTCAAGTGTTTACAGCACTTTAGTCGAATTTTAGGAACAACCGAGTTTGCATGATTTTATGTCGAAGCTATTAAGTTGAAAATGGTATGGTGTTTCCTAGATTGATGGTATTATTCTACTTAATCGTAGAGTAACAGTTAACAAGAAGAAGAAATAATTCCGTAGAGCGCTTCGCTGTCGAAGTTCGCTTATAGCAAAAGGATAGGGTAATTTCGTAGAGCTCCCATGATTTTCGCGTCGAAGCTACGAAGTTTCGGATTTTTGTCCGACCGAGTTGCGGAAGAGTGTACTTAGTTTTGACGTAATTTATTCACCGGTAGCGACGAGTTTGTCAACCGCAAATCGAGTTCCACTGTGCAAAGTGAAAACGGAGAAAGGTGAGGAAGAGGGCAGAGAGCGATCGTACGATTAATTCGTACAAACCCTCGCGGTTTAATTGTAACTACGCCGTGTTTTTTTTTGCACCGAGATCGCTGTTAAATACACATCGAATAAGCGAGTAAATAAATTTGCAACCGGGCTGAAGAGCCACGATGTTCAGTTTGAAACGCGACGGCCGCGATACCGGAAAAATCGATCCTCGTCCGGGGTAATTGATTAATAACGTTATTGTTACAACGATTAAATGCACGACTGTTTGCGCATCGTTGTAAAAGCTGGTCTTTCATGGCATAAAACCCGGGGACCGTGGTGCGCTGATATTTTTTATTAGTTTTGTCAATATCCTCACCCCCCTCTCCCCGCGAGAACCGCGACGTACGCGGAAACAACGAAGTGTGCGAATAAAAACTGTTTTTTGTTTTGCTTTATTCTTGTTTTGTAAATTCTCTCCGCTATACTAATGCTTCATTTCCTTTCGTGCTCGATATCACTCGTACTAATACAAGTACTCAACGGCGCATACTTAAACCTTCTTATCGTTTATCTCGATCATTTGTTATTGCGATATCTCGTGTGCACATGCTTGAACTTTATTTTATATTTACTCTATTCTTTCTCGCCCCAACAATTACGCTCGTGCTCGTTATCGCCTGCCATCTGTCTCGATAGGACACGTGAATGTAATTAAGAGGATTAGCGAAGGGCAGACAATGGTAAGTTGCCATTTACAAGGAGACGCGGAAGTTGCAGCGGATAATTAATACGGTTTCTCCGCGGCTCTGCGAAAGTAACGAAAACAAGTTCGCTCGAGAACACCGTGAAACAATGCGCATCGGCAAAGGGCCGAAAACACAATTAAAAGACCTGGAATCGATACAACCGCGAGTGCAACATCGCCGAGCGACGCGAACAGAGTAAACCATTATCATTAGTATTTCTATTATTATTATTCACGTTAATAATCGTAGAAATAATACGATAGAATGAACGGACAGAAATAGTTGGCGATTCGCGAAAAGTTGCGAATTTTATGCAGGAAACCTGAGACAGAGCGCTGCTCTAACTTGCTTCCGAAAAAAATCGGATCGTGCGTAAAAATCCGAAGTATAATTATTACACGTCCATGCGAAACGAGTCTGCAACGAACGTACCATTGTAAATTGAATTCCCAGGACGACTTTCAAAGCGCGCTAATACCGAACGCGTGTCGTCCGCTCGGAGAATTTTTCGAACGGAATTTCGGCGGATTTTCCAGCTGGAAGTCGGTCCGGCCCGATCGATCGAACTGTTAACCGTGCTCCCCGACTCGATATCAAAATCGAAATAACTGCAGCACGAAACGGTAAATACAATTAACACAGAAATCACAGTCCAATTCAATCCTCGATTGATATTTGATTGACTTTGATTTATTTATTTAAGGGCGAATAAACTCGTCGGTGTGCACACCGGTAATAGGTAGACAAATAAGATAATTGCGCGGGCGGTTTATTTGTACCGGAGACTGTAATTTGCATAATCGGTTCCGATAACGGCACGCATCCACCGCGATTTTCACGGCGGCCCGTCCAAGGCCAACGATAGGGAACAAATTCGGCGGAACGGAAATGAACTACTGCCAAAATATACACGCGTGGAAAACGCTTTTCTTGCAGTCGCGGCACACGCGCCCGTCGAGTGGAACTCGACGCGCGAATGTTTTCCCGCCGGCCAATCGAACTGCGAAATGATTTTATTGCCGTGCCATCCTTCAAAACCAACAGAGCTCAAAAATAACACATGCCAGAAATGCGGGAATAATTTTTATCACGCGACGGACGAGAACGATTTACAATGACTCCGTAAAGTCTTCGCACGCTTTTCCGACTTTCCGCGCAATCGTCGATATTCAAATTGTCGTAGTTACGTTAAAACGTGTCCTAGAACAATGAAACCTGCATCGATTCCAAAGCTTTAACGCGTTCGCTGCCGCGTCATCCGTCGCACGGCTGACGGAATTATTCGCCCGGATTTGAAAATTAATGTTTACGTTAATCTGTCACGTTTCCAAAATTTCACGAGGATCGTCGAAACAAAAAAACAGACGCCTTAACTTTTCACTTTCGATCCGATTAAATAGATTTAACCCTTAAATGCATATTGTTGCCAATTGTCTACATTCCAGTTCCACTGAATTTTATTCGAAAACCTGAGTATGCGCGTTTCCGAACACACGTTGATAACAATAGACGATAGACCGTGTGTGAAATAAAAGACTTGACATTACTTTTGGCGAGTAAGTTATATGTTTTTTGACATTTGAATGCGGTGGGTGATAACTTCCAGGTTGCAAAGGATTTTCACGGACCGAGCGCATCGAATGCAAGGTTGCTTCGTGTCGCAACAAAAATCGCAATCGCTTTGCCGCATTTCATTTATAAATAATGTGAAAATTCCTGTACTAATAGATAATATAAATACGTGACCATTCGTTTACGTCTACAATAATTTTAGTAATAAACGCGTATCGTTGCCAAAAGTCTACGTACAACTTTTTTTCAAAATAAATACTCGATATTATTACCTAGATTTTTTTATTTATTTTTCACGTAACCTATGACTACATTCCTATAGAAAACGATTTTTTAAAATTCAAAACAAAAAATCATGCATTTAAGGGTTAA